ACAGAACAGTTAAGGAATCCAGCGTGCCTTCTCTATGACCACCAGCAGCATGACGATGGAGGTGATGGCGGGGACACAAGCTTTCATGTGGCTTGAATCACAGGAGTATTCCCGTGTGTGTGTTGAGTGATTCTTTGAACATGATCCGGCGGGTCGAGGCAGGCTGGTTACGCAGACAGTGGTTTCAGTCATTGCTAAATTCTTCGTGTCTGTATAGTTACTTTGATATTCGTCCCAGAGTATGCAGAGAGCTGATAGACTGGCAGTTACTGCATTAATTGAAGATGGCCGGCCCATGGATCACGCAGACACTTTCATTGCCCTTAGAGAGATAGGACGTTCTGTGAATTTTGGAAGCAACGTGTCCACATCACTTTTAAGAATACGCGAATTGGGAGGAAAGATCGGCACAGCCAAGCATGAGAAGCACAATGGGCGCACACGAAGTCTTGTTAACCAACATAGGACTGGTACTATTAACCGCACGACGCTGATAAATATGTTGAGAGGGGAATCTGAGCGTCTATGGATGTTTCCGGAGTGCTGTGAAGATAATCTAAATCATAACTCAGTCACTGCCATATAGATTACCAGAGACTCAAAACCGTGCACCTAAGCCATCTGACCAGGCACATAATGATAATGAGAAGAAAGGTCTTTGCCAGCCGTGATCGTCACGGTTCATTTTCTCCCCCATAAAATAGGCCTAGCGTACTTGTCATGTCAACAGAGAGAGTATTCATTGACGAACGAACTGTTGAGCCTAAATTAAATTTTATATCAAATGTAAGTTATGTCACGCAGTATTTTGCAAGTATTATAAAAATATGTGTGTCGAAAATTTTCTTCTACTTTTTTTCTTCATCGTCCGTCCGAATGGCGTAATTGCGTGGTGCCCGCTTACAGCATAGCTGCGATATTCGTCCTTGGCATGACTGCTTAATCTCACATTCGTGTGCTGAGCTTCCTACTCATCACCTTTTTCAGATCAACAGGTGGTACAAAGTTGTTACAGACGAAAGTATACAAAGTACATACCTTAAAGTCACAGGGAACACCCTCTACATGAGGTCTTGAGGAACAGCAAGGGACATCGGCTAAAAAAAAGGTAGCCCTTGTATGGCACAGGCTGATGTCACGATCAGAACTGTTTGTGCTACTGATAACATGGTGCATGGCGAGGAATGGGTTAACGTGCCGCCCGGCAAAAAAGACTTGCACAAAGTAATAGTTACCTTGGACCCAGGGTGCCGGAAGTGGATATCTGGTTAAACAGCATCATGAACCACTCCGGGCAAACCAGTGTGCTGCGACCCCTAAGACAACCACTCATAAGAATGAAATGTTAACGGTCGACACTATTAAATATATACTTATTTTAGTGGCACTTCAACAAAACTGGTGTTAAAACATAAAAACGTTTAGAAGGCACAGTAGGAAATTACTACGAACTTCGGTTCTTTATTAATATCCTCCCCGAGAATACGTCACAGGACAGTCCAACATTTTAGAGGGTGGCAAGACTGGGTTCCCCGGCTTTCTGATGCTTTTAACGACCCGAAAACATCTAGAACTGGCCCTAACCCCAACCCACCTACGTCCCACAAGAAAGTGCAGCCTAGGTCCCATGACTGCATGCAGCCTAGGTCCCACGACTGCATGCAGCCTAGGTGCCATGACTGCACGCAGCCTAGGTCCCACGACTGCATGCAGCCTAGGTCCCATGACTGCATGCAGCATATCTACCACCCCCTGAACTATTAGACTGCCCCGTGACCTGTGGATTTCCCCTGACTGGAGTCGGATATTAATAAAGCACCCACAATTATTATTATTATTTTTTTATAAAATGTATTTTCGGCATTTCTTTTGCCAGACTTGCTTTGTTATTATCTTGGAATCAGTGGTCTTAAAGATGTCATTGTCCATGCACGCATTTGAAAGCCAGTTCAAGCGATGCAGCCCCGTTGTGCAACGAAGCACGTTTTTTAAAACAAGTTTCGGTCTTGAAAAAGATATTTGGTAACCATCATTCACATGAACACTCGGAGTGCAACTTCAACGTTTGGGAAAACTTATTTCAGTCTGTCCGAAATAATGTTTCTGTAAAGTGCATAGAGTTTCACAATTTTCCTTGAGAGCCATGTTGTGCTTGAGATCGTCACATTAATTGAAAAGGTCATCATAATCTAGGTCTTGGTAACGCATGATAGCACTTTTAGTTTAGTGCATCGAAAGTAACGGTTTTCAATTTACTGAAGAGCATATGTATTTTTTTTTAAACATAGGAATCGTCGCCGGAGCTACAGGGCACGTGTTCGGCGCTTGACACATTAATACTGATACATGATAAGGCAGACGTGGTTAGTGCCTTGTGGAAGAGCGTGTACAGTTCGGAGGAGCAGATGGATCACAACAGTCTGGTGAGATTGATGCAGGGGGGAGTGACGAGAGGTTCTAGCAGATGGATCACCACCGTCTGGTGAGATTGATGCAGGGGGGAGTGACGAGAGGTTCTAGCAGATGGATCACCACAGTCTGGTGAGATTGATGCAGGGGGAAGTGACGAGAGGTTCTGGCAGATAGATCACCACAGTCTGGTGAGATTGATGCAGGGGGGAGTGACGAGAGGTTCTGGCAGATAGATCACCACAGTCTGGTGAGATTGATGCAGGGGGAAGTGACGAGAGGTTTTGGCAGATGCTCGAAGCTCAGAGGAAAGTCAAGACGGACGTTTAATCAGAATGCTACTGGCACCATTAGTATCGGAACTCTTAGCTGGCTGCTGACGATGGGGACAGAGCGCTTATGGGAATGCCCCGAGTGCTGTGATGTCGGTTCTTGAATCCAATCCAATCAAATCTACCGAAGAAATAAAAGACATTTCCAAATAGTGAACAAGCATCTGCATATATTGTCAGTTAAAATGATTACAGTGACCAGAATAGGGAGAATTTTTCCACCTTGAACTTTTCGATTTTACGGAGTATTACGTTTTCTTGAAGTTCTGCTGATCCGTCACATCTACTAAGACTCGTGATTGTTCCCGTTTCCCTCATCACTGTCATCTGTATCGAGACACATTCGCCTGGCTTTGACAATCCTATTCACTAAGTTTGACTTTAGTTCGCTTCTGATAGACTGAAAAGGCTTCGTGGCTACAAGGATGTTCACATCCTTTGCATAACCTTGCTCATTTAATCCATTCTTTCTGTCATGTCGTTCCAAAGAATTGTAGGATAGATGTCCCTGTTTGTTGTTGTTTCTTAATCACTCTGCCTCTCTCCTTGGAGTGGGTAATCACTCTGCCCCTCTCCTTGGAGTTGGTAATCACTCTGCCCCTCTCCTTGGAGTCGGTAATCACTCTGTCTCTCTTCTTGGGGTGGGTAATCACTCTGTCTCTCTTCTTGGAGTGGGTAATCACTCTGCCCCTCTCCTTGGAGTTGGTAATCACTCTGCCCCTCTCCTTGGAGTTGGTAATCACTCTGCCCCTCTCCTTGGAGTTGGTAATCACTCTGCCCCTCTCCTTGGAGTTGGTAATCACTCTGCCCCTCTCCTTGGAGTCGGTAATCACTCTGCCTCTCTTCTTGGAGTGGGTAATCACTCTGCCTCTCTTCTTGGAGTGGGTAATCACTCTGTCTCTCTTCTTGGGGTGGGTAATCACTCTGTCTCTCTTCTTGGAGTGGGTAATCACTCTGCCCCTCTCCTTGGAGCTGGTAATCACTCTGCCCCTCTCCTTGGAGTCGGTAATCACTCTGCCTCTCTTCTTGGAGTGGGTAATCACTCTGCCTCTCTTCTTGGAGTGGGTAATCACTCTGTCTCTCTTCTTGGGGTGGGTAATCACTCTGTCTCTCTTCTTGGAGTGGGTAATCACTCTGTCTCTCTTCTTGGAGTGGGTAATCACTCTGTCTCTCTTCTTGGAGTGGGTAATCACTTTGTCTCTCTTCTTGGAGTGGGTAATCACTCTGTCTCTCTTCTTGGAGTGGGTAATCACTCTGTCTCTCTTCTTGGAGTGGGTAATCACTCTGCCCCTCTCCTTGGAGTGGGTAATCACTCTGCCTCTCTCCTTGGAGTGGGTAATTACTCTGCCTCTCTCCTTGGAGTGGGTAATCACTCTGCCCCTCTCCTTGGAGTGGGTAATCACTCTGCCTCTCTCCCTGGAGTGGGTTGGGTTTTACTGCAAAGTTGATGGACAGACACTATTTTAACACAGAGAGCCTCTCCAATAATTTCACAACAAAAAGTATGAGAATGGAGGTGGAGGCAGTAACAGTAGCTTTCCGATAGCTTGAGAGCGGCAACTTCCAACATATGGTGACTGTAACGGACTCACCGAGCATGCTGTGGAATATAGAAACTGACGTCTTACGCCTAGAGTGGCTAGCATCGCTTGATAAGGCTGATCAGGTTCATGTGGAGTTTCTGTTCATGATATTCCGATGTGCGGGGTAATGAGCAGGTTGCTGGATTGGCTGCTGTGGCGACCCAGGGTGGTGAGCTTCTTTTTAATAAAGTGAAAGTGGTGAAGGCTCTCTGTGATCAAGTGGACAGTGCAACAGAGCAGACCGAGGATCCAGACACTGATCGACTCATTCAACGGAGTGGGAGGGGAGGGGGGAGCAGAGAGTCTGGAAGATATTTAGCACTTAAGTGAAGACAGGTGGATTTTTTAATCAGGTTGCAACGGTCCCATTAACATATCGGCCCCTTGTGTGGGAATGGCCTGAGTGGAGGGATGTCAATTCTTGATTCATTCATTTATTCATGATTTATTTGAATCCAGCTGTGTGTGTATCTTTCAGCAACTACAGAGGGCCCATAGAAAGATGTCCATCCAGGGCGTCTTAGTCTTCTTGTTTTTCATCTCGGTCTTCACAAACCTGCTTATTCTCTGGACATCAACAGCTCACGAAGACCATGTGACCATTGCTGTGGACAAACTGGAGTCACTAGCGTCGTTGAAGGACTGCGTCAGGGACAAGATGGCAAGGAACGAGCACATGGCCAACAATCTTCCATCTTCATTTATAGTACCCTCCTACAGACAGAAGAAAATCCCTCCAACACTAGACAGGAGCATGCTGGCATCCTTTAACTGGACAATTCAAAGCGAGGTTCTCAGACTAAAATCAGTCTTCAAGTTTTTGTCTAAACCTGCCAAATTCACACACGACTTCCAGTATATTCACAACCCTCAAGACGCTTGCTCCAGACGAAAGATCGATCTAATCATTGCCGTCGCTTCTGCTCCACATCACGAAGAATCTCGTCACAGAACAAGAAAAGGTTTAAAGGGATCATACTCATTCGACAAAAGTAATAATTCCACTGTTTTGTTTTTCCTAGGTGTGTCCAACCACCCGAACAAATCTCGCAAATTCCAGACAGACATAAACATGGAGATGCGAATGTTCGGAGACATCGTGCAGGAAAGCTACATTGATGTTTACAGGAACCTCACTCTTAAAACTATATCTATCTTAAAATGGATTGATAGATTCTGTCCAAACGCCCAGTTCGTCTTAAAATCGGACGATGATACTGGCATCAAACCAGCGGTGGCAGTAGCAGCTTTAAACAGATATAGACAGCAATTTGGGAACTTCATTCTTGGTCGGTGGAACCCTAGTACTAGGGTTATAAGAAACAGCGGTGCAAGGACGTATGTGTCTTTCGACGACTATCCGTACGCCACTTTCCCGCCTCACGTACTTGGCGGAGCCATGGGATTCCCCGTGACAACCGCCAAACTTCTGTACCAAGCGGCTCTCAGGGTCAGGCGTATTCCAATGGACGATGTTTACCTGAGCAGCATGTGTGCCCGGCGCGTCAATGTACCTGTGTTCATGGACGCCGACTTTGATTTTATTCATAGAGCCTGGTAACCAATGCTTACAGCTGAACAAGATGCATACTTACAATTGTAACAGACTCTGAAAGCATGCTGAAAAAGGTGAAGACAGGGATGCTTCGAGCAGAGCGGCAAGCTTCACTGGAAAGGTCACGAGTAGTGAGCATACTTTAGATCTTTTCTCCAGGCTATGCCGGTGTAGTGGGTAATGAATAGACAGACAGTTTGTCTGGATCTGCAACACTGGGTTGTGAATTGATACATGACAAGGCAGATGTGGTAAATACCATTTGGGAACAAGCAACGGAATCAGTAGACAAAGAAGATTATTATGGCCTGGACAGAATGAGGCACCTGGGTGTTCTTCTTCTTCTTCTGCGTTCGACATCAGTCATGCTAAACATTGAGTCCCGTCTGGGTCACAAATAGGATTGTGCGTTTAAGGTCGCCACCGGTCCCCCAAAGCTTCTATTTCAATGTGGCTCCCTTGGGCCAGATCCACAGTCTTTGCTTGGAGAGGTAAGGGCAGTACTGTAGTATGTGCCCTGGGGTCTGTCTTTCTGCTCTACAATCACAGGCAGCAGATTCTTTTATGCCTATCCTGTACAGGTGTGCTCGAAGACCACAGTGTCCAATCCCTTTTTGAGTCTAAAAATTGTTGTTTGTTCTTTCCTGTTGAGTTTGTTTATGCTGTCACTCTCTGGTCTGTAATCTCCATTCTGCCTTCTCCACTCCCGCTTGCAAGACTGCTTTAGCGCTGTTTTGGTTTCCTTGTAGCTGTGTGGTGGATGAGGTTGTGGAAGATTACTCCCAGCTTTTGCCAACTCATCTGCTCTCTCATTTCCTTGAATACCACAGTGGGCTGGTATCCACTGCAAGACCAGTTCTGCTTCCTTGGAGAGTAAGCCAATGTTGGTCCTTAGATCAGCAATTAGTTTGTCTTCTTTTTTGCTTGATAGTGCTTGGAGAACAGACAATAAGTGCAACAAGAGGGTCTGGCTGGCTGACTAAACTCAGAGGAAAGGCAAGATTGTGACCGGTACTATCGGTATTGGAACTCTGCGCTGACTGCTGAAGATGAGGACGGAGCATGCATGGGAATGCCCCGAGTGCTGTGATGTCAATTTTTGACTCAACTCAACCCAACAGCTGACAAGCTCCCGGTCTGCTTATAATTTTCTGAGAAAAAAAAAAAGGGGGGGGGGGGGGAGGCTAAGAAAAGACAATCCTTGTCGAAGTGAAAAATAACAACATCAGTAACAATTATTATTATTATTATTATTATTATTATTATTATTATTATGTGTTGAATGGAAAATAAATGGACAAGTGTGTATAGAATAATATAGAATCTATCAACAGATACTTAAAAAGAGAACATCTTGACACGGTTAGAGGGAATTAATCTTTTTTCATTTTTGCACAGTTTTTTATACTGTCAAGATTTGCAGATCTGAAATCCTCTGTAGAGTTCAGCAGGTCACGCGAGTGGCGAAGAGGATGAAAGGCCCGACGCAGTAGGAAAACGCTGTCTCTTGACTATTCGCTCTTTTGTCTCGCCAGCTGCCCTAAAGACAGGTTGTCTCTTCCATTTGCGTCGGTACCGTTCATGGTTTTTAACGCAAAGTGGCTTCCTGTTACTGAGCGGAGATAGATGGACTGGCTCTCTGGTTTCGTCGTTCAGTAGTGTGAGTGTGTTAGATCTAGATTTACTTCAGTAGTTAAATTGTGTTAGATTTAGATTTCCACGTGTATCCTCGCTCGGAGATTTTTGATTGCAGGTGGCTGAAAGCAAACTCTCATCTTTGTAAGCCGGAGTGTTTAGCACATGGTCTGTTCGGACACATTGTTGATTGTTAGTGTTCTGTTATCGGTAAAGCACGTTAGTATTGTGTTCAGGAAAATAAAAAGATGTTGCTTGTGATGGTTATGTTCCATTTGTTTGATTCAGAATGTAACTTGTAGTTCGAGCACGTGGTCTGGCTAGGCGCTGCCTATATGGTCATATGTTGTTGTAGTTGTTCTTGTTGTTATTGTTGCTGGTTAACTCACTATTCACATATTCAATGCTTGGGCTATCAACGGGGAATTACTTATTGTCGTAATCAAAAAAACTTTCCTTATTTCTCTACTTGTTTTCCCATTTCCTCTTTCCGCTAGCTCATATCCGCTATATGAGTCGACTCCGATGTTCGAATTATTTTCGAAAACTGGACTTATACGTCGCAATTTAGGGTAGCGCGAGTGTCAAAAATCAATACCTCGGAAGACGCAACAATTTTAACATTGATTACTACCCATTCCCTACTACTATTGCTGCTGCTGCAGCTGTTAGTAGTATTGCTACCACTACTTTTACTACTACTGTTACTACTACTATTATTACTACTTCTACTACAACCACTACAATTAAAACTACGACTGCTGCTGCTCCAGACACTGCTACTGAACCTATCTGCTCCTGTTAAAATGTCGCTGCTTCCGTTTTTTGCTCCAGCTACTAGAGTTGCTGACTCTTATCTTCAGTCATCATCGTATTGGTCAACAGGGCTACAGGTCTGCCTCGTCGTAATAATAAATCATGTCAGCCACATTTGATTCCTTTGTTCCAGTTCTCTTCGTTCTCCCACATGCATGCACTGACGAGATACAGCACTGACGAGATACAGCGAAACATGCCAGACACTTCAATGTGCGATCTGGTGTGCGCATTTTTCCCCTTAAATAAAACAGTCTAGCTAGAAATGTATAAATGTTAAAAACAGCTGCAACCAAAGTCGGGAGAAACTGCCAGTATGGCTTTCCCAACTTTAAGTATACAGCTTGACGTCAATCGTCTCTGAAATATGTCTAGAAAATCAAAGCAGTGTTTCCTCTATGTGAATTTTAACAAAGAGATCACAGACAATAGATTGCACAATTTATTGTCTGGCATATTTCCCAGAATCCCGTCATGTGCAAACTAAAGTAACAGTTGATTAAAATGAAGCAAATAAATGAATTCTTCCAACTGAAACATAAAATCGACTACACTCAAATACTGCCTGTTACATCAGGGTAAACGCATGATGACAACCATGTCCTTTTGTCTGCATAATTATGGAATGAACCGGTTTATAGCGGTTGCTTCCATGAATCGCAATAATCTGCGGTTGACTGAGCCTCATGATCAAGTACTTTGCCGACTGGCATGGGCGATCATGGCTGTCCACAATCTGCTATCTGCAACTGCATGAATCAGTGTGTGTGTCGACACCCCTCCATGCCATGAGAAAATGCTGTCAAGAATCTTCTCGCCCTAGCTTCCTCTGTCTCTCCGTCCACAAATCATTCCAGTGGTTACAACATGCTCCATTTACCCTCTTACCATAACATGACCAAAAATAATGACTGTGTCTTGCTGATGTTTGTGCGAAGTTATCCTCGAGCTCTCGCCTCTTTCAAAACATGAAATTCTAAGCATTCTTCTGTAGAACCACATCTCCAAGGCCTCAAGATATTGTTGGGCTTGTTTGTTAATTGTTCAGAATTCACAGCCGTATGTTAAAACTGGCTTTATGTAGCATACGATAATTCTTTTTTCTAATCTCCAATGACAGTGATTTTTGGCACAAATTGTTCTTCGTTTGATAAAATGCAGTTTCGACCTATCCCATATCGCGCAGTTATCCAGTCATCTCCTTGTGAGATGCAATTCTTCACTATTTTGAAGCCCCACTCTGACTCTTGCCAGGGGCCGCACTATAGCCCGGCCATAAATATGGCCTAAAGGCTGAACGCGGTTTCTGCGACCTCTCCACGGTGATCCTCCTCCACATGGTAGCACTTTGGGTCATCGGGTGTTTATCGATGTCCTAGTGGGGTAAAAATCTACAACTACTACCTGTCCCATTTCATTCTTCATGTTAATGACACATCTTTTATATGATGTTATCCATGTGCCTAGATACTTAAATTTCTGTCATCATCAGTTTCTTCTGCCATTAGGCGTTCTGGGGAGGAACATTTGCCATCCATTGCTTGCTGGGCAGCATTGGCTACTGTCATTCCGTGTGGATGTAGAAGCCCTTCAATCTCATTGATCTATATCTCCTAGAACGGCCTCTTGCTTTCACTTTAGAACCTTTTATGTGTAGCGTCTGCATTGGTAGTTGTTCTGGCTGCATTCTTACTAGATGACCAAATCATTTGATCTTCTGCTTCAACGAACTTCCTGCATTTTGTTGTTCTTACAGTCTGTCTGATAATATCATTTCTAAATTTGTCTCCGATAATTGTTGGCGGTTTTTCTTAGATATCTAATTTCACAGGTGTTAATTTTACGTAGGTTAGTCTTTGATAATGTCCAAGTCTGGCACTGGTACTACAGTGTTGGTATGAATGCGCTGTTTATAATTTGTTTCTTGGCGCTCATACTTATGTTTGGATGTCTTAATAATGGTGTTAGTTGGTATGTAAGTGCACGGGCTCGTTGACATCTTATTTCTATTTCCCGATCTATTCTCCCGTCCTCAAAGAATAATCTTCCTAGATATTTACATTCTGTAACTTGCTTCAGCCAGGTACCATTCACCACAATATGAATAGGAATTCTGCTGACCTGCATTAGTTCCGTGTTAATAGTATTTATGTTCATGTTATATCTTCTGTTTGTTGAACGTAGCCGGTTCAAATAGTAGCTCATTTACTGTTTGTGGATCTAATTCTTCCTCTGAAAAGTTCCTCATTTTCTGGATTTTCTGGGTTGTCTGCATTAAAGTTAGCTTCTTTTTATATTCTATATTTAAAATTTCTAAAAATTTTCCTAAAATAACTTCGACTTTTATTATACATTTAGGCACTATTCTTTTCTTGGGAATCATCATTATTTCTGTTTTCCCATAATAAACTGAGGCCTGTTTTATCACTTTCTACCACCACCGTATCTATCAATTCCTGTAGTTCTTTCTGTCTTGTCGCTATAAAGACAGTGGCATCAGCATAACGCAGGTTGTTGCTGTTATGACCACCAACCACAATTCCTGGCATATTCATGATAGATCTCAGTATATATTCATGATATTATAGTGCGATATTAAGGGTTACGCATTTTACTAAGCGCCTAGGATGTATGATTGGCTCCAGTCACATACAAGAGCTCCATCAGACTATCAAACAACTTATACGTTCTTACAGGAGAACAAGGAGAGGCCAACGAAGGCAAGAACACCACCAAATATATCAGGCACACGTAACAAACTAACATATTCTACCGAAACCATTACATTCTCTACTAGTGCTGTAACATAAAACACCCCGCCAAGTATGATTTTATACGTGGGGGGGGGGGGGGGGGGGGGTGGTAGTCAAAAAGGAGGGGACCAAAGAAGAACCTGAATGACAACAGCAAGAAATGGACAGTACTATATGACTCTACACTTGTTCATCAAGCAGAAGACACAGAAAGATGACCGGTTTTGTGTGCAACTGCTTCCAGCGATACACCCCCACGACCCTAATGTATCAAGGGTTATGATATGCTTTCTGAGTACTTATCACGAGGGTAATCCCATCTCGCTCGCGCACCAGATTTCTTATAGGCCCCATTTCGTGTCGTGCAAGTTGCCACAGCCTGTTTTATATAATAGGAGATTTCTTCCTTCTTTGTCTATACACAAACGTGCCGAAAAGTGACTGGTGCTCGTTCGACAGAATGTCTCCAAGACACTCGTTGGTGGTGACTGTCGTCGCTGGTGAATGTGCGTAAAAGTTAGTTGCGTATCCTTTACAGGACGTTGCAGAACCAACCCTAACAGCCCCTGGCTGTTGTGTGGTTTCTCTAGGCAATTTAGGTCCAGTAGTTTGCCATTGCTTTCTGGACGGTCGGCTTTCTTGATACCACTGTCGAAACCAACGCAAGGGAATAAAAAAAAAAAGCAAAATCTTAGTCTTAGAACATAGGACAGCCCGTGGGAACTGATACGACATGAATTGGAGCCGGCATGAAATCTCAGGTGCGAGCGAGATGGAGTGACTCTCGTGATAAGTACTTTTTTTTTTTTTTTTTTGGTATTGTTTACAACGGTACTGAAATCCTGTACTTTAATTGTAAAAGACTTATATTTTTAATGAAAGCGGGTCTTGATAATCACACTCGCCATGACCTTACTTTCGCGGGGGTTTAGTAACCACGACCTTGAACCGGAAGTGTTAGAGAACATGATGCGTCTGCTGCCATGGAGGAGAGCCACAGCGGGGTCTTTCATCTCAAGGCTCTTTTTACAGCCAGGTCTTCTAGATAAAATCGTAGTTAGCACCGCAAGCAGTATACAATATAGTACAGCCGGCAGAGGTAACCAGAAGGCACGGTTCCAGATGCCGCCACCAACTGTAAGATCCGACGAACATGGAAGACGAACCCTGGGCTCTCTCTCTCAGCGGAACCCAGATCGTCTTGTTTGGGTCGACTTGGAGGTAGGTTTGCTTGCTTGTTTTTATGCGCGACCATGTCACTTGGCACGTTTGTGCTATGTATAATTTGTAGCTTTTATTGTATATAAATATATTAAATGCACACAACCCTTTTCCACTCCACGTAAGTTGCTAAAATATGTAAATCTGCCACGTGGATGTTGTTATTAATAAAAGTTATTTTTACTCAGTGTTAGTAACAGTAACAGTAACAGTGTTACCAGGATTAGATGTATACTCAACTGGAGCATTTGGGAGCAAGTCAACAGAGTATAGGATCGAACTGATAATTACTGTCTGGAGAGAATGGTACAACTGTGACTGAGCACTTATGGGAATGCCTCAAGTGCTGTGATGTCAGTTTTTGGCTCCATAGTCAACACTTTCAATAGGCCTAAGACTTGTTCACATGTGTAGTAATAATAACATGCTGAATAGTAAACAGAAAACTACACAGTTAGGCAACAGTTTTTGTCCCCTTACAAATTTGAAAAGTGTGGGAGGGGGCAAGGGGTCTAAGTACAGAAACATGTTTTTCCCTTTCGTTGTGATTCCTAATAATAGTTTGTCTTAGTGAATTTATTTTTTAAAACCCACTTGATTGCAGTCACCCCTTTATTCATTTCTTGAAACCCACTTGATTCCAGTCACTCCGTATTCATTTCTTGACACCCACTTGACTACAGTCACCTCTGTATGAATTTCTTCACACCCACTTGACTGCAGTCACCCCTGTATTAGTATTAATTTCTTCACACCCACTTGACTGCAGTCACCCCTGTATTAGTATTAATTTCTTCACACCCACTTGACTACAGTCACACATGTATTAATTTCATCACACCCACTTTACTACAGTCTCACCTATATTCATTTCTTCACACCCACTTGACTACAGTCACCCCTGTATTAATTTCATCACACCCACTTGACTACAGTCACCCCTGTATTAATTTCTTCACACCCACTTGACTACAGTCATACCTGTATTAATTTCTTCACACCCACTTGACTACAGTCACCCCTGTATTAATTTCTTCACATCCACTTGACAACAGTCACACCTGTATTAATTTCTTCACACCCACTTGACTACAGTCACCCCTGTATTAATTTCTTCACACCCACTTTACTACAGTCACACCTGTATTAATTTCTTCACACCCACTTGACTACCGTCACACCTGTATTAATTTCTTCACACCCACTTGACTACAGTCACACCTGTATTAATTTCTTCACACCCACTTGACTACAGTCACACCTGTATTAATTTCTTCACACCCACTTGACTACAGTCACCTCTGTATTAATTTCTTCACACCCACTTGACTACAGTCACCCCTGTATTAATTTCTTCACACCCACTTGACTACGGTCACCCCTGTATTAATTTCTTCACACCCACTTGACTACAGTCACACCTGTATTAATTTCTCGACACTCACTTGACTGCACTCTACACCAGATGTTCTCAAAGTTTTTCCACCGCGGCACCCTTGTGGGGCAAAAAAAATTCCCGTCACACCTAGACTTGAAGCACTTGAATACTCAGGGAGAGAAGAAATTTAAAAAAAGGTGCAGATTTAATGTTCAGTTGTCTTTAATGCGATTGATAAAAGTGTTTGGTTAAATTTTTCATTATATATATATATATATATTTTTTTTTTAGAAATTCTCTCCATCATGGATGACCCTCCCTGAAGAGATATGGCGCAGCATAAAAAAATTTCTTAATCTTCAAGTACTATATCAGAATCATTGCATTCCAGATTACTCTTTAATTTGGACAGAACCAAGCAGCTGTTAGGGACACTCTTTAATGTCAGTTTACATATTGCCCTTCCAGTGCCTGTTCGTTAGCAACCGACATAAAGCCAAACTGGAACAAATGCAGCCAAATTCCCATTTAAACCATGGTTGGCTCATCCGTTTGTTCGATGTAATTTAAACGTACCTTCATATTCTCGTTAGCAATATCTTCAAATTTGATTTCGGTAGACGCCCTGAAAGACCGAAACAATGCATGATCTCTCTCTCTTTCTCTCTCTCTCTCTCTCACACACACACACAAGTAACAACAAAAAAAGAACGCCTTGCCTATAAATATAAGTGCTTACTTGACAAGGCTAACAGTTACTACTGTACAGACCACATTTTCCACCTTAAAATTTCAGCCAAAATGTAATCAAAACTTTACTTTTCCACTGCACCTTCACAAATACAGATGGAGGAGTTTGCGCACCTCGAGATAAGTACAAGTCTTCATGCCATCTTTAATAATGTCACAATTTTTAGCTGGCTATTCTTGATTTTTGTCGCGGCAACCTTGGCATACACTTGCGTCACATTAGTGTGCCGCAGCATCCAGTTTGAGAACCTCTGCTACACACTATATTCATTTCCTGACACCCACTTCACCACCATAGTCAACATTCTATTTTAGCAGTTTTGTTTACAAATTGCTAATGACTGAATTATTTGTTTTCTGTTTCAGATGACGGGATTAGACATTGTTAATGACACAATTCTAGAGATAGCTTGTTTGATAACGGAGAAAGATCTTCAGATTGTGGCAGAGGTGTGTACTGTTTACTATATGATTACTTGTGTGAATTAGTCCTCCTGTTTACTGAATCCTTGTTGTTTGTTGCTGTTGTGATTCTCTTTATGTGAATGATTAATGTCATTCTTTATTTAAAAAAATATTGTCATTGCTGTTTTATTTCTGTTTGCTGGTTGTTGATTTGTGAATGATTTATTCGTAAAAGTTTTATTAATTGCAGTGGATCTTCAGTTTTGCATCTCTTAGTTTTTTTTTTTTAGGTGCATTAGGACATATTGTTGTTATTTCATTTCTCATATTCCCACTTGTACCATTATCTGCCTGGATATTTTCTGCTAGTATGATATAATTAGTGTCAGTCACTGTGTAGCCAAAGTAATTGCTTGTATCTTTTTTAATGCTACATTTTTAATTGGAGAATTTCTTAGTGCAATGTAAATTAAAGAGAAAGAAGGAGCAACAACATGTGTTCAGGTAACATTGTGTGAATTGTTCAACAAAGTAAAAGTTCTGTTATAACAATAAAGAATATTTGGTAGTATTAAGCTAATGATTTTGTTATTTTCCTACTGGATGTGTCAGTGGCACATTGACCAACTTAGTCTCTGCAGAGATATCTCTGGATCATGAGATTGGTTCTAGACATATGTTGTCTTCTTTGTTGTGCCCTTTATTTGCCCCCCCCCCCCCCTTCCCGCCCCCTCCATCTCTCTCTCTGTCACCTTCTCTTTCTTCTCTCTCGTATTTTTAGAGGTAATCTTCCATTTCTGCTACAGCCTATGTTAGTTTCCCTAATTCATACATAGTTCTGACATTTTATTTGCTAAATTTGTAGATGTTTTGTTTGATTGTGAAATGAGGTAGGTAAGCTGTCCAGATTTTTTTTCTCAGCATCATTTTTATAAATCTCTGGGAGACCAGATTCCTCTGATTTTGGTTTGTTGGATGTTATTATTTCCTTTTTTTTTAAAATTAATTGGTCATGGTTGGTTGAAGCTTTCAAAAAAAAGTTTCTTGCAGAATGATGTAACCAACTGTCCCTAGTGACATCTGACAGTCTACAAGGTAGGCTACAGTGTTACTGTTGTTTCCCTTTAAGGACTTGTGTATTACATGTCTAGAGTCTTGTTGTGGGAGACTTATATCACCACTGATGGGAGTTCAGCTCTAGATCACATAGTTGTAACCCTATAATGGGGATCTCCATGGCGAAGTGGCCAGGTTTTTTCTCTCGCACTCTGAAGGTCGTGTGCTCGTGCGTCGTTCGGTTTGCGAGTGCAGTTTTTAATGCAGATTCCAGGGGATTGTCGCCAAAGCTATGGGGCTCGTGTTTTGTGTGATGCTCTCACCAGGCAGCTAGCCAGTCTAGGAAGAGTGACTGAGCCATATGGGGAAAAACCCAGTGCAGTGGTACCTTTAACCTTGTAATACTTGTCTGTTTCTCAGGGTCCAGACATAGTCATCCATCAAAGCAATGAGGTGCTCGATAACATGGGGGAGTGGTGTACAGAACAACATGGCAAGGTGGGTCTGGTTTTTGTGTGGCTCTGTGAGTACTTAGCCAGTACAGGTGGTGTACAGAACAACATGGCAAGGTGGGTCTTGTTTTTGTGTGGCTCTGTGAGTACTTGGCCAATACAGATGTCAACAGTCTCTTCCTGTCCTTTTTGATATTTTGATAGTTGTTTACCATGTTTGCATATTTATCAAATTTTAAAATAATTTGTTAAAAGACACACCTGTCAGACTTCCATCTTTTCACATTGACCCCATTTTTTTTTTTTGCAGTGCAGTTCACTTTCTGCTGGATTTTTTTTTAAAAATTTATATCAATGCCACTTTCAGATTACAGAATGAAATGTAATGTTTCTGTTGACACTGTCTTTTCTTGTTTGGTTATCAAGCTTTCTAATGAAACTTATTCTTGCAAATTATTATATATGATTCCCTTTCTATTTTATTTTAACATAATACATTTATCTAGTATAATTATTGTGTTATAGAAAGCTGTTTTCTTGGCTGAGTTGTTTGCCAGTTAGTCTGTATGTTATGATTTCCCTTGCCATTGATGTTTGATAGAGAATGTTATCTGTACACTTCTTGTCCACAGTCTGGTCTAACTGAAGCAGTGAGAAGCAGTAAAGTGAGTCTGCAAGAGGCTGAGCAGATGGTCCTCGATTTTGTGAAAGAGTATACACCCAAAGGAAAATGTCCCTTGGCAGGGAATTCTGTTGGGGTAGATAGGAGCTTCATAGAAAGGCATATGCCCCGGCTGGCAGAGCATTTGCACTACAGGGTTGTAGATGTGAGTTCAGTGAAAGAGCTATGCAGGTAAGCACGTGCTGCAATGAATTTGTTAGTTTCTGATGTTTCCGAGGAAATATTTGTCTGATGAGATAGAATCAGACTGGTTTACTCATACTGTATTGTCCCCATCCTTGTCAGGTTGTTGATGTATGTGTATCCCTCTTATCTGTCATTGTTAATTTTGTATTGTGTATCACACCCTTGTCTGTTAAAATCATGGCTGCTGTCACTCCTCTGGGCTGTGATCTACTTTACGATAAAGTGGACATATTGGAGGCTTTTTGGGATCAGGTGACAGTGCAACAGAAATGCATCCATATCCTTAGAGAATGATTCAGCTGTGAGTGAGCAAAGGGTGGACAATTTTCTACCCACAGAGGACAAAACAGGCAAACTTTTAATCAGGTTACAGCTAGCACCTTTAGTGTGGAGACTCTTCTTTAGAGCATCTGTGGAAATTTCCTGAATGCAGTGATGTCCATTCTTGATTCATTCATTCATTTAACTTGTACTACAGAGGTAAGCAAAATAATCCTTCAGTAGTATGTGCAGCCACATTATTTACCTGCTGATCTTGTCTTCTTTAGATCCTCTTTGTGATGGGAATTGTTTTAATGGTCTAGGTCCCAGAATGTCTGTTTACCAGGACATTTCCTGTCTTGTGAAGGAAGCCAGCATGATAACGACTATCATTCATAAATGAAGTGATAATTTAACACATTTGGGACCAGTACCATATATTAGTACATGCCATAACAGGGAAATGGCCCTTTATGTACTTTACTATGTACTGTCAGGATCCTCGCTGGTGCTACGGAGCCTATGCACTGCACTGAGCTACTTTGGACTCAGACTTGAGTTAGAAGTAGAACCGAGCACTTATTGGTGCTTGTGCCATGATGTTGATCCGTTGTTCAAACCACAAAAACTTCAAATCTCAAACTATATACCGCACATGAATGAATGAATCAGGAATTGACATCTGTACGGTCAGGACATTCCCATGCATGCTGTCCCTGCTCAGTGGGCATTGGTGGTGGAAGGTTAGCACGATTGCCTTCCAAGCAGTCAATCTGTGTTCAATTCCCAGCTGACACAAATACTGCACATTGAAGCAGCAATCCGTGATTAAATCAAGCTATACAAAGAATTAGGCACCATGAAAATAATATCTTCAGGTATAAACACACAATGAGTGGGCTGTTTGCGGCTGTAGTCCATGAAGTGAGTTCATCCGTGAAGTTTCTGGGGTCAGTTTAGTCTTCTCAAGGAAGGAAGACAACATATCTCCCAACAGTTTCTCTCTCTTTTGATCTTGCCGACGGTCAGATTGCTGTATTCTCTTCCTGTGTTGATTATCCTGGTATTGCTACCAGCTCTATGTCAGATTTCCATGCAGTTAGCTAGAGACAAAGAATATTTTGTTGTCTGACTATTTATTTTCATATTTCTCCCTTTATGGGTTCTAGGGTCCTGTTTAGTGGGGGAGGGGGGTGGACGAATACACCCACTGCTGCCCAACAAACAGGTTGTAAAAGATCACTAATGAAACATTAGCTGAAATCTGATGTTTTGAGCAGATGGTCATAGCCTAGCTGTAAACTGTAAACAACAACACAACATGTCAGCCACCCGTTCAAGTGAGAATACAAACAGATTTTTTATATTTTCAATGTCATAATTGAGTGTGGCATCATACCTCACTTTTCTCCTATTATGGTAAACAGAAAAGTCATCCTGTGTGTACTTTCAGACGCTGGTATCCTGAGGACTTGAGCCAAGCCCCTGTTAAAAAGGAGACACACAGGTATATTGTCATGTATAAGTTTGTGTGAAACATTTGGCAGGCACTGAGCTTTAGTGTTAGTGAACTGCAGGCATGGAGACATTCTGTAGTATGTCTGCGCTGCTGTATTCCCACAACACAAGATCAGGTTTTATCATTTCTGCAATCTCTTTGTCTTTGAAGCAATGTTTTCTGCATTGTTGCTGTTTTATGTGTGCATATTAAGAACCTTTGCAGTTTATAATTATAAATGACTTTAATTATTTGTGATATGACCCTCATGACGACAGCACAGATATGATTCATATCACCCTCAGTTTTGACATGCCTGCTTTACAGTACATTGCAAACCAACCTCACTGTTGGCATTTGTCTGGTTTTTTACAAGCAATTTTATATTTAGTGGTTTATCTATCTAGGTAAAGTTTTAAACAACAGATCAACATTATGGCACAAGGGTAGTAACCCACCAGTGCTCTGTCCTCTGAGTCTGAAGAATCTCAGCACAGTGCACAAACTCCGTATGCTACTCTTTTTGGATTTCTGACTGCCAAAGGATTGTTTACGTGGGCAGCAGCACGCATAGGTGTCCCACTTGCCTTGCTTCCAGACACTTGTCCCTGCCTTGCTTCCAGACACTTGTCCCTGCCTTGCTTCCAGACACTTGACCCTGCCTTGCTTCCAGACACTTGTCCCTGCCTTGCTTCCAGACACTTGTCACTTGCCTTGCTTCCAGACACTTGTCCCTGCCTTGCTTCCAGACACTTGACCCTGCCTTGGCTTCCAGACACTTGTCCCTGCCTTGCTTCCAGACACTTGTCCCTGCCTTGCTTCCAGACACTTGTCCCTGCCTTGCTTCCAGACACTTGACCCTGCCTTGCTTCCAGACACTTGTCCCTGCCTTGCTTCCAGACACTTGTCACTTGCCTTGCTTCCAGACACTTGTCCCTGCCTTGCTTCCATACACTTGACCCTGCCTTGCTTCCATACACTTGACCCTGCCTTGCTTCCATACACTTGACCCTGCCTTGGCTTCCAGACACTTGACCCTGCCTTGCTTCCAGACACTTGACCCTGCCTTGCTTCCAGACGCTTGACCCTGCCTTGCTTCCATACACTTGACCCTGCCTTGCTTCCAGACACTTGACCCTGCCTTGGCTTCCAGACACTTGACCCTGCCTTGCTTCCAGACACTTGACCCTGCCTTGCTTCCAGACGCTTGACCCTGCCTTGGCTTCCAGACGCTTGACCCTGCCTTGGCTTCCAGACACTTGACCCTGCCTTGGCTTCCAGACACTTGACCCTGACTTGGCTTCCAGACACTTGTCCCTGCCTTGCTTCCAGACACTTGACCCTGCCTTGGCTTCCAGACACTTGACCCTGCGTTACATCAAGTTGATCGTGCAGCAAATGGTACGATATAAATGCTGTTCTCAAACAGGAAATCAAATGGTTTTCACTGTTGGGCTGCTGACCTTTGATCTTATCACATTCATTGTATAGAACCTTGATCTACATAGATGTGTAGATCCGAAAAATACTGTCATATAAAACTTGTACCTTTCGAACATTTGAATAGGATTCTCCTGACAGTAATTTGCAGAACTCAAGAACATTGCTATGAGTAGTTCTTGCTTGTTGCTAAATGTCACAGCACAGCTTTAGCATTTCTCCGTCTGCTAGTTTGGGGTCTCCTTTCATTAATTCTGCTTTTGTAGAGCAGAGTTAGTCCACATAATCAGCTTTCATTTCCTTACACGAAAATGGCCTGAAAGTTACAGCGTCGTCTAAATGGTATACCTCCATGATTCAGGTTACTAGTAACTTATTCTTACTTACTTATATGGCGTGGAGAGAATAAGGCATCTGGGTGTAACCAGTACACTCAGGGGAAAGGTAAGACGGACATATAACCAGATTATGACCATTAGTATTGGAACTCTGCGCTGGCTGCTGAAGATGAGGACGGAGCACACATAGGAATGCCCCGAGTGCTGCAATGTCAATTCTTGACTCAACTCAACTCTTACTTACTTAGTCGTTCCTATTCTACCTTGGGGTATAGAGGTTTGCCTGACTTCTTTATCAGCAGTACATACACAAATTATCTAGCTACGTTGCAAAATATTTTATCCCTGCTCTCATCTTCCATAAACTAAAGTTCTTTCATCTTTCCTCAGCTGAGCTACACACATCACAATCCTTTTCTTGAAATTCTTCATCACATTTATAATTTCTATCAGAGATTTGTCTTTTACTTGCAAGCTAACATTTTCTTCATGTTTCTTCAAAAATTCTTCTCTTTAAAACAGCAGCCATGTTTCTCCTCATTTATCAACTTTAGGAAATGTTCAGTGTAAAGATTGATCTCATGACTACTGTGTGTGTAGGCAAGCGTACTAACAATACACCTGATTCTGTGACTTTGCAAACCTGACATTTTAAACCTGTTGTTTCAGAGCCATGGATGATATACGAGAAAGCATTTGTGAACTGCAGTTTTATCGCTCCACCATTTTCAAGTAATTGATGATTCTCATTGACTTTGCCATTCGGACAGTGCAAGCACATGAAGATGTTGAGATTTCGGTCTGTGACTCCCTAGCTTCAAAAGCCTCTGGCTTTAATACTACAAATGTATCTCTGTAGTGGTTGAGTAGGATGTCTCTTTCTGCCAGTGATTTCTCAGCAATGCCGGGAAGCCATGTCTGAGTTGACATAGCTGCTGCTTCCTAAATTGCAGTGAGGTCAGGAGTATCTTGTTTGTTATTTAATTTTGTGGGCGGTTGATGAAAAGACTAAATCATTAAAATGATCCTAGTGTGATTAGAAAAGTACCGTATGAACACGGTGAAGCTGAAGGGCTCAATATTCACTTCCCAGGGGCTCCTGGCTGCTCCAGGAAAGTCGGTAAAAGTTGAATGAAATTATAGATTAGGAAATAAAAAGTAGAATCAAGCAAGAAAACTAGAAATTATATTTTGAACGGAAATTTGGCATGTTGAATTTGGTGCCTTTTCTCCTTGGTCATTCTGAAGCTCAAGTAAAAAGACCATCTAGCTGAAGCTCAGTGGAATACCAGCTTCTCATAGATTTGACACCCTACAGCCAACTCACAGATATGTTTCAACGCCACAGCCACAGCCAACCAGAGTTTTGGCTTCTGTACGAGATGAATCAAAATCTTGTCTGAGAAAACAAAATAAGTATTGCTGCCAGTCTGAACTATATATATCTCTATAAAGTGGGATTCTCTGCTTATATGGCTATCCAAAATAAAATACAAAAGCCATTTAAATGCAGATTAAGACATTGGCTTGTAATTAGCATCAGTTGTGTCTGAAATAAGAAAACTGCATAGTCACAAATGCAACCCCAGATGTCTCTTTTAACATTATAAGTATTTTATGGACCTTATTATTGCTCTATTCAACAGTTTACAATATATTGTACTGCGGATAGTTTGATTTAATGAAGTAGGGAAGAACTTTTATGTACGGCCAAGTTTTGACAATATTGTATTGTGTGTATTGGTCGCGGATGAGAATAAACTGGCTGTTTTTAAACTATACTTGTATTGTGTGTACATTGCTCAGTTGTTTAGATATCTCTTTACTTGACATTCCCTTACTGTCTGCCTCTCTTCCTGTGTGCGGTAACATCACTTCTAACCATCATTGACTCGTAAGACAGGGTATGGTAGGTCTGAGGGGCACCACTGTAGAACTGATTGTAAAAAGGGCTCGGTGTGACGAGACGCGGTGGATTAAATGTTTATATGTTGAGTAGGGATGTTCCTCTCAACACATTCCCTCCACCAGATTAACCGAACTAAAATCTGAGCTATGTTGCTCTCAGACAAAGTCCTGGATACCCAAGAAAACAGCCATATTGGCTCGTTAAATACATTAACATTAGCTGAACTTGGTACCCACAAGAGAAGAAAAGGAATTTTAGATGTCTATAGCATTATACTTAATGAATTATTAGACAGGGCAAATGATTCCTCCGTCATCTACCTTCTCCCGGTGTTATTATTAATAATTAAGGAATTATTATCATTATTATTTGAGCCCCCACCAAATGGTATTCTATCCTAACAGTTTAATTAAACATGTAAGAACAGACATTTGGAATTACAAAAACTGATGCAGGATAAGACCATATATTTGATTTACCTAGCAATCAGAGTATGACATTAGTCATCATTATTGTATAATAGATAGTGATGGTATGGTGACAATGAGGGGCTTCAGCTAGATAACTGAGCACCTAAGGTTAGAGTGAATGGATAATGGTGGTGATAAGTTTACATCCATAACACATGGTGAGACGTAACTTAATTAACATAGAACCTATGACAGCCGTGGGTACTGTCAAGTTCTTCCACTTTTTCCTCCCAGTTCTCCTGGTCCTCCACCTCGTTCCCAGCTGGCCGAGTCTAACACAATGTAGTCTACTTCATGGACTGATCTTCACATGGGCGCTGGGAACTTTCCAGCAAATGCCGAACACGACTCAACCAGGGAGAAAATACTTTTCCAAGGTAGGTCTGAGTCTGTGGCCTGCTGGCGGCACTATGAGGTAAATCTACAATGCTCGCAGTATAAGTATCAATCTATTGTCCAAATTAAACTCCTCCCTTTACTCGCTTCTACCCAACCCTCAAGACGATGACTTAAGCCACGCCTCTGAAGTACCTATCAGATAAAATTAGCTAACAAGTGGCCTGTCAGTCAATTCTGGACTGACATCCCTAGAGCAAACATTCTTAAGTGACCCAATCTAGTTTACAACGAATCTAACTGGCGGGTGTTAAAAGACGTTCAGTGAAGCCATTGTGTTTCCTACTTGACCCAGATCAAACATTCCTAATTGCCAAACACCTGTTCTGCCAAGAATTACACTGACTTGCCAAACTCCAACCTCTCGTCTCCACAATGTCTAGCGTCCACTCAATTCCCCTGTTCCAAAGGGCCCCACTCAGGCTGTGTTATGAGATAACATTCTGACACTGGCGTGAGAATCAAACCTCACATCCCTAGTCTGAACCAGCGGGCTGTATTACGTAGTGTTATGTAATTTTAAACAAAGCGCAGTGGCTTTGTCTGGGAGAAGGACTGGTAACATTTAAATCAATTTGGTTTAAAGTAATATTAGGGTAAAGGGCAGAGTAAATATAATCCTCTCTCTTTAGAACCAGAAGAACTTATTACAAGTACTAACTTCTGGAACCACTGAGATCGTATCGTGACACTCGGTGAGTCAAAGAGGTTTGGAAGCACTGACCTAGTGTGTGTGTGTACATATATGGATATATATGTGTGTGTGTACAAACACACGCACGACAGGATTCAGTGACTACAGGGCATGACAGCAGCAAATCACATAGACCTGTGACTTTATAGTTCAATTCGCTAGTTTGCCATGTAACCTTGACATTCTGGGTCTGCGACTATTCTAGATGAAAGACTTGAACACATTCAATGCAGGTCCCTTCTCACATCATGAGACAAAGTCGGCCTGTGGTGTTTGTTCCATATTTGTTAGACTATTGGTCCATAGCATCATTAGGACCATTATCCCCTCATCAGTGTTATATTAGTAGTTTCAGCCAATGAAAGCAGCGTTTGCCTGTTTTAACGTCTGACCAGCATACAGCCAGATTTCTTGGGCATTAAATTTGCAATCTGTTTGTGCCAGCTTTGCAAAAGAAAAAAAATTGTGCCTTCTCCACACTGAATGTTGTCTGCAATATATCTTTGGAATTATTGTGAGGTAAAGTCCCTGATCTCTTCCACGGTATGATTCTTGCTCAGCTGTCTGACAACCAAGAGAAGGCTCTTTATTTACATATTTTAAATACTCTTATTAGTTGAAGTGTAAATTGTTATAAAATGTATCGCTTCATTGAAATGTGGAGTTTATTTGCACACCTAGTTTGTCTTTGTTCTTTGTTGTGTAAGTTTAACATCTGATTTATTTGTATGTGAATAAATACTGTATGGTTTCTAATTTCTTCTTCTTCATTTTATCCCTTACTGATTCAAAGTTTTTGTTCAATTCAGCTATTCTTGTTTTTAATGGATGCCTTTGGAGTAATCTGCTATGTTGTCTCTACAGACTGGTATGCTTTTTCCCAGGTCAATCATGCCGGCAATACAGAAGTTAGAACAGAGCACGCTGATATAAACGTACAGTCAACGGATAAAAAAGTAAAGGACTCTTTTCCATGCCATCAGACATATGGGGCAAATAGGGCTAGACCTATATTTTTATAGACCAATCGGCACAAGATAGGTGATGTGGTCAGTATCACGCCCGCCGCCTTCACTTTCCAGGGACTGCACTCGGTACTCACTCAAGGCTGGGTCGACCTGGGAGCCAAGGTAATTTTTGGAACAAGTCCGGCTTTGCCTGGGAGTGAACCCACGACCTTCCGATCCGCGGTGAGCGTCTAGCCGCTAGGCCACGGCGACTCCCTACAGTCAACAGATATGTGAATTCATATGCAGGTACACATTGTGAGGTAGCAGCATAAGGCAGGCCTGTAGTTCGAGAAAGTGAACTAGAAGCAGTAAAAACACTGACTCACTAAAAGGCAACAACTCATACAAGTCTAACTAGTTCTTAAAGTAAGCAGGTCATAAAGTGGGACTAGTTCTTGAAGGAAACAGGTCATAAAGTGGGACTAGTTCTTAAAGGAAACAGGTCATAAAGTGGGACTAGTTCTTAAAGGAAGCAGGTCATAAAGTGGGACTAGTTCTTAAAGGAAGCAGGTCATATAGTGGGACTAGTTCTTAAAGGAAACAGGTCATAAAGTGGGATTAGTTCTTAAAGGAAGCAGGTCATAAAGTGGGACTAGTTCTTAAAGTAAGCAGGTCATAAAGTGGGACTAGTTCTTAAAGGAAGCAGGTCATAAAGTGGGACTAGTTCTTAAAGGAAGCAGGTCATAAAGTGGGACTAATTTTTAAAGGCAGCGGCCCATAAAGTTATCAATCGACAGAATATATGGTTTGAAAAAGAGGAAAAGAATGACTATTCCAGCCACATACAAATATATTATATGAGAATCAGGAGAATAGAAACATTAAGTTCCTAGGTACAAATTTTCACTGCTCCAACATACTGAGAGAAGAAATACAACCCAGGGACCAAACAGGGTCTACCAGGGCTATTCAACTGTTTTTTCAGGGGTCAAGATTTTTGAAAACGGATTGCCAAAGGTCCGAGCTCCAGTATAGAAACATCATTAAGAGTACAGCTGGCAATGTGTGGGCCACGGTGCCAGGCCTCTGCAGGCCGCAAGTTGAACAGCCATGGCTAACTATGCACTAGAATATATGCTGAAGTAAAGTGCTCCATCTCGTAACATTGATATCACAATTTGTATAACACTGATTAGACCAAATGTGCGAAAAGGCTCTGAAACCTCGGGTACAACTGAAAGAACGAAAGTCTTATTACAAACTTTTGGGAAGTCTTACACCCAATTTGTGGATCCATCAAAGAGACAAACACAATCG